AGAGGGAAGGCAGCTAGTTATCACCACCCACCGCCAACTCTTGGCTACTCTTTTACCAATGAATAGTGGGATTGACCGTCACATTATAACGCCCTCACGGCTGCAAGGGCGAGCATGTTTGGTGTGACGGGGATTCGAACTCGCGACCCTCAGATTACGAGTCGAGCGCCCTAACCACCTGGCCATGCTGGGTCAGGTATGTTAAGTAAACACATCATTTTCAAATGCAAAAATTGAAAAGTAGTTTTATGCGGAGTGTACGTATCCAAACGTTATGTGGTGTATAACGTATTGACAGTAATGCTCAACTTCTTTTGATTTAACTGACAATGATTCATTAGAAAAAAAAGAAGGCTCCGTTATTAGTTTAATGAAGCTGGCCTTGGTGGGATGACCACTGGACAACCATCACAACCGTGATGTGTTAGTGCCTGATGACAATGAACAGAGAAATGCAGTCACTGTAAATTTTCTGTATAAAAACACTTTATTATTTTTTTATTAATTTTCTGCACTTATGTTAGAAGTAGTACCAAAACGCAGTCTGTTGATATTTTTTTGGAAAATATACAGATTTATATCATTAAACGTATCTGTAACATAATTTCTCAAACGTGTTTCAACATTTGTTTTTAAAATGGCTTTATGTATCATTTGTATTTCCGACTCATAAACACACACACAAACGATTAGTTTTAGGTTACGACATCAGTTCTCACAAGCATATGAGAAACACTAAAGAGCTTTCACATATACAGAGGATTGCGTATGTTATACCAAAACGATTTTGAATATGCAACTCCACGAGTCACGTGACAACCACAGTCGATTAAAGTCGCGATAGAACAAAATGTATCACAACCACATTTTTTATAATATTTTGCGTTTCATAACACACGTGCAGTCCACGAACACATATACCAGTGATAAAATACGCCCACGTGTCAGAGGAAACAATTACCAACATAATCAAGAAGGGCCTCCGTCTGGAAAAGAAATACAAGACGCGTGTGCACAACATATCCTTTCAACAGTCGGATACCACAAACAGCTGGAAAATGAAACGCATATTCACACTATTAATGTTCAAGTCGCCAGACGCAGATCCTACAGGTTTCTGTGTAATCAGACAGTTGAAACTGATGCTCGGAAATTTTCTACCTTGCACACGGGATGGATTATAGAGGGAAAGCAGGGAGAGGTGGTGGGCTTTGGAAATAACAGTCTTGAGACGGAGCCTTTTGCACTGGAAAGAACGCTATAAGCCTATCTTGAAGATGCACAGTCGTCAGATAGAGCAAGAAGGATGTAGCGACACAGACTGTAACGACGTGGTGAGGCTCCAAAATCGTTGTATTATAGCATACTCAACTTCTGTATTACTGGAATTGCAAGATCAGCTGTGCCTAGTTCTTGTTATAATGAAGGTGTAAAGACAAATTGAACTCGACATGTTTGACTGATTGAACTTTAACTGCCACGCCGTTTCCTTCAACGGCATACTGGAACAGGAAATGTTATTAAAAACTGTAATAAACACGTTGGTTGCAATACAAGTTCATTCAAGTCCAAAATGAAACAAAACTGTCCATGTTACTTATGCCAATAATAAATAGATTCAGTGTAGTTATGCAATCACTTTCGTCCACGATTTACACTTTTGGGAATCAAAGGGTCAAGTTCAGCTATAGCTCCATGTGGTAATTGAAACAAAGGAACTGTACGACGAGAATAATTTGAAACGTTGTCCTCGGACACCCATTCATCAGGAAATCTGAAATAATATGATCAGGTTAACACAAAGTTACAAATAATGAAGGTTGTCAATTTTTGTTTTACTCCTTAGAATACTCTGTATTTTCGTCCATAAATCAAATGCAAGTTGTAAATACGTGTTAATCATGCGTTCAATAAAGCATCATCGTCTTCGACTTGTTTTTAAATATATATATATACCAAGAAATATGTAGCCTAGCAATTAGTGTCTTGCGCTGCTCATCGGAAACTCTGGGATTCGAGACGTGATACTGCTGAACACACTTCACCTTTAGTTGTAGACGCGTTATAAAAATGACAGTCAATTCTGTTACTCGATTCAAAGAGCCTGACGACTGGTGGAGGGTACTGCTGGCTGGCTGCATTCCTTCTGACCAGTAATTCAATATTAGAGATGGTTATATCTGGAACCTTGGAGATCTCTGACCTAGCCGTTTAGCCCATGTGTCACAAGAAGGTGAAGTTCAGGCTGAAAATACTAGTATAAGTTCCCCCGCTTAACAAGTCGCCCTTTCGTGGGGTCAATTTTATGTAAATCAAATCTAAAAAAATCTGATTACTTGAGTTAATCCTTATGGCTTTCCTTCAGAGGTATAGAAGCCTACTTTAACATGAAATAGCTTTATAATAATCCTAATACAGTATCCCTATCGATTTTTCTATTAAGTACCTTCTAAAACAAAGGGTTTGAAACCTTGCACGTCTAATGATCCATAAGGTTGGTCTTTGACATAAAAGTTAGATTTGACTGCGGATGAAAACTAGTTTTGAAATGAGTGAAACTACAGAAAAAAAAATCTAAAAATTCTAAGAATTCATAAAAAAAGACTCGCAAATTTCTAAACAAAAACTTCTCAAATAAACTAACGAATAAAAGAAAATTATTAGTATACTTTGCGAAGCTTCATTTGCAGCTAGTAACCCTAGAACACTAAGTTTTTTTTTTTTTCACAACGCCGTGTACTCAGGTTCTTGTTTCTATGGGTACGCTAACTACTTTATTCCTTTGATGCTGATTGAATAACTTTGATATTGCATGCCATGTTGATGTTTACTGTGCCAAATTGAACACTCTCGACATATGTCTCGCTACTTCAAAAACAAATTGCAAAGTAAACAATTTTCAGTCCTTCAATAGTCATGTTTCTAGAAAAAATATCACAAGTTAGAATTATTAGACAAAAAAAAGAAATAACATATATATATATATATACATATCCTTACTAAACTGAGTACAAAATTTAAAATCTTGATGTAAATCTTTGTTACGATACGAACAAATCGACCTATCAAAACTTGTCTAGTGTTCAAAGGCAATATTTTGAATGCTTTATATTCGACTAAGTCGTCAGCTGTGTGAAATTTGGCTTAGTTTTAAGATAGTTCATATCACATTTTGCAAAACATCTCGAAACGTGAGGTGGTGTTTTTCACACACACTTTTACTGGGATTCCAGTTATCCATTTGTTAACATGATTCGTAACATTCTTGTAACATCATAAAAGAGGACTAAGTATGATCTAAGATAATATTTCTGGGAAATTATTTTTTCTTAATAAATAGTAAAACATACAAAATCGCTTTGAAAATGGACTTAGCAGGTATAATAAAAGCACGTATGTATACTGGAAGGCTATCTAAGTGAACAAACAGGCAATATGTCTATAGGGGATGGTAAATATGTTAATGTTTTATTTTTTAACAAATAGATATTTACACATTTTCAGGTACCCAGTGTAACAGCAACGTGGTATCTTTTTTTGCATCAACTCGACGACCAAGAACCTGAAAATACAATTAAATAATGATGAAATAACTGTTTAGTTTTGTCGATAGCTCTAGCATTTTAAAAGATCGAAAGCTCTTGGTCATTTCTAATTACTTGAAAATTTACTCTTCGTTTAGCATACTATATTACATTTAATACTCAGTAACGTCATGCAAATTAAATGCCATTTCAAACAATATTCTCAAGACGCTGAAACCACACAAATAAACAAGTACGCTTAAAAAAGTTTACAAAAGTAAAACAATTAATTAATTTAAGTTTAATTAAATTCATCACTTATATTTTAAATAAAAACTGAGTCCTTCTAGGCTCAGTTTGCAAAACGATGTTCCGTGTTTTGTGTCACATTATTGCAAAAAGAATCGCGCTCCGCTCTTTAGGTTTGTTTTGTTTTGAATTTCGTGCAAAACCATGCACACGAGGGTTATGTGCACTAGCTGTCGCCCAAAGCCACACGAGGGCAATGTGCGCTTACCGTCCCTAATTTAGCGGTGATACACTAGAGGGAAGGCAGCTAGTCATCACCATCCACCGTCAACTCTTGGGCTACTCTTTTACCAATAAACAGTGGGATTGACCGTCACATTATAACGCCCCCATGAGAATGTTCAGTGTGACGAGGATTATGACCCATGGATTGCGAGTCGAACGCCTTAACCACCAGTTCATGCCAAGCAATACGCTATTTTTAAGGTCGTAAGTGAATTATAAGAGCGACGGTCAAATCTCACTATTCGGTCTGACACGAGTAGCTGAAGTATCTGACGGTGGGTGGTGTTGATTAGGTGTTTTCCCTAGAGCTTCTATCACTTCAAATTTCAAAATGACTGACGGTTATCTCCCTCAAGTAGCTGTTAAAAAGCGCAATATTTTCTCACCAGTTCCTGCTAATTTGACTCCAGAGTTTTCTTTTTCAATCCAAACCTATTTCGTAAGGCTTAGTTTAATTATGATAGTTCTGATCACACTCTGTTTGCTAGTTAATGGCTCTAGCTTACAAACCCTTTTAACCCAGAAGATTGTGTTATTTACTAATTAATACCAGTATATAATTAGCTGAAAAAACCTTTTAATCCAGAAAATTGCGGTCTTATACATAAATCGTTTTTTTGTTGTTGTTTTTTTGCTAATAATACCTAATGAGCTAGCTAATTAGTGCCTATAGAGAATTTATCTCAACAACCTCTTCCAACCATATAAATGTACTGGTTGCTAATTGTTGTAGATAGTTAGTTTAACAATATCTTCAACCCAGAACTTTGTGTTTCTTGCTAATTAATGTTTACCTGACAAACATCTTTCATCCAGAAGTTTATGATTTTTGTAAATTAATGTCTGTAGATAATTTATCTCAACAACCTATTTCACCCAAATAAATGTACTGGTTGCTAATTGTTGTAGATAGTTAGTTTAACAATATCTTCAACCCAGAACTTTGTGTTTCTTGCTAATTAATGACAAACATCTTTTTTACCTGACAAACATATTCAACCCAGAACTTTGTATTTCTTGCTAATTAATGACAAACATCTTTCTGACAAACATCTTTTTTACCTGACAAACATCTTCAACCTAGAACTTTGTATTTCTTTCTAATTAATGACAAACATCTTTTTTACCTGACAAACATCTTTCATCCAGAAGTTTATGATTTTTGTAAATTAATGTCTGTAGATAATTAGTTTAACAATCCCATTAACCCAAAAGTTTGTGTTGTTTGCTAATTGATTATTGCAAATAATTAGGTGATTATCTTAACAACCTCCTTAACACACTAGATTTTGTTATTTGCTAACTGATGCCTGTAGGGTATTTAGCTTAACAAAATCATTGGAGAGAAAAATATTTCTTAATATAATTTGCTTAAAATGTGGTCTTATATATATATATACATATGTAGTTATATATACATATATATATCTAAAACTACAAGTACCCCTCATTATGTAGTTATATATACATATATATCTAAAACTACAAGTACCCCTCATTATGTAGTTACATATACATATATTTCTAAAACTACAAGTACCCCTCATTATGTAGTTATATATACATATATATATCTAAAACTACAAGTACCCCTCATTATGTAGTTATATATACATATATATATATATCTAAAATTACAAGTACCCCTCATTATGTAGTTATATATATATGCATATATATCTAAAACTACAAGTACCCCTCATTATGTAGTTATATATACATATACATCTAAAACTACAAGTACCCCTCATTATATAGTTATATATACATATACATCTAAAAACTACAAGTACCTCTCATTATGTAGTTATATATACATATACATCTAAAACTACAAGTATACCTCATTATGTAGTATCTAAAACTACAAGTACCCCTCATTATATAGTTATATATACATATACATCTAAAAACTACAAGTACCTCTCATTATGTAGTTACATATACATATACATCTAAAACTACAAGTATACCTCATTATGTAGTTTTATATATACATCTAAAACTACAAGTATCCCTCATTATGTAGTTATATATACATATACATCTAAAACTACAAGTACTTCTCATTATGTAGTTTTATATATACATCTAAAACTACAAGTATACCTCATTATGTAGTTTTATATATACATCTAAAACTACAAGTACCCCTCATTATGTAGTTATATATATGCATATATATCTAAAACTACAAGTACCCCTCATTATGTAGTTATATATATGCATATATATCTAAAACTACAAGTACCCCTCATTATGTAGTTATATATTCATATACATCTAAAACTACAAGTACCCCTCATTATGTAGTTATATATTCATATATATCTAAAACTACAAGTACCCCTCATTATGTAGTTATATATACATATACATCTAAAACTACAAGTATACCTCATTATGTAGTTTTATATATACATCTAAAAACTACAAGTATACCTCATTATGTAGTTTTATATATATACATATACATCTAAAACTACAAGTATACCTCATTATGTAGTTTTATATACACATATACATCTAAAACTACAAGTATACCTCATTATGTAGTTTTATATATACATATACAAACTGTAACGCTAATTTTTTTTAATTATTAAGGATAAAAAAAATTTTCATGCTACTAGTATATGTATTGTTTCATTTTTATTAATCACTTCCTTCGGCCAAAAATATATTTATTTCCTTGTATAATTTTGCTTAAAATATTTTTTGTAACATTTTACTTATATGCCTATGTCTTATTTAGTTCTAGTTAATCCAATATATTGTTATTGGGTGGAATTAATACGTACAAAACTTCGGAATGATAAGAAAAATGGTTGACCCTTTGTGTTCATATTTGTCTCTTCGCTAAACTTCATCAAGCCGTACTTAATCCGTTCCATTATTCCATTGTCAAAAAACGATGCATGATCTAAAAATTGACAAAGACAAGTAAACATAAACATAAAATTTACAATAATTACTGATACATTCAACCCATGCTAAGGTTCTGAATTTTAATAAATTCACATCATTGTAAATAAATATATACATATATATGGATAAAACACTTAATGAACTTTTTACGCCGGTGAAAATACCAACAAATAGACTTTACTGTTTTATTAAGAATGAGCCAGGTGTTACCCACTAATTACAGTGTAATGGCCGCAAAACTGTACTCCGTATATTGTAGCCATACGAGCGCCCTAAGAGTAACGGTCAAGTCCCACTATTCGATCAGACACGGACTCTTACAGCTCTGAGGTTCGATTCCTCGTGGTGGACAGAGCACAGATAGCCCTCAGACTTACCGCTGAACCACCAAGGAGCTTAAAAAAAGTATGCTTTTTTAGATTTTTAAACCTAGTCATCATGCTGAGTATAACACCTTCGCTAAGTATGCTTGAAACTATTTTGATTTTCAGTTTATTTGTTTGTTTGTAATTAAGCACAAAGCTACACAATGGGCTATCGAAACCCGGATTCTAGCGTTGTAAGTCCGCAGACATACCGCTGTGCCACTGGGGAAGGGCAATTTTCAGTTTAAAATATAAATTATAATACAATACCGATTAATGAAAATGAAATGTCTACAGTTTAGTTTTTGTTTCTCCTATGCTTAAATCTATATATATTGTTTACTTTCACATTTTATCTATATACAGTGGTGTGAAGTAACATTATTCGATTGAGGAACCAACAAAAAAAGTCCATGGTTTACTTAAACTACTACCTGGAAACATGAGCATTCAATTACAGAACTGGCGCATTTGTATGTATATTATGCACAAAGATAAATTTGTTACCTGTACGTAGCAATATGCGATAGTGTTAAAAATATACATGTGCGCTCTCTTTTGATAAAATATTCTATTGGTAAACTTTAACCAAATTACTCGTTTTCATTCTAAATTTCATTTAAAAAAAAGCAAAAATAAAACATATTTTTGTTGTTAATGGCAAATGTGAAATTTACTTTTCCAATTCCAGATGGCGCCAGAAATGATATATTAATTTCTTCTGACAGTTTAGGTCTGATAAAATTACTTCAAATAATTATTTTTCACTTATGAACCTTTCCCCACACATACTAATCTCCTAGAGTATTTTTCAAACACAATATATGTTTTTAACACAAACGTTATAGTTTAGAAACAATTTTATTAATGAAATTTTACATTTATTTATAGATGTCAGCATCAATGCAGCTATTAAATTCATTTCTTTAATATTTACGGAAACATCATTGTCTTAAATACAAAGTTTACCAGATTCGTACCTCCTTTAATGATCAGTTTGTGTATTGTTTACTTTTCATATGAAATTGACTTTAGACTAGCACAAGTGCCCGATATGGCCAGGTGGTTAGGGCGTTCGACTCGCAATCTGCGGGTCGCACTCACGAATCCCCGTCACACCAAACATGCTCGCCCTTTCAACCGTGGGGGCGTTATAATGTTACGATCAATCCCACTATTCGTTGGTAAAACAGTAGCCCAAGAGTTGGCGGTGGGTGGTGATGACTAGCTACCTTCCCTCTAGTCTTACACTGCTAAATTAGGGACGGCTAGCGCAGATAGCCCTCGTGTAGCTTTGCGCGAAATCCAAAACAAACAAACAGACTCGCCCACGCCGTTTTTTTTTTCTTTACTGTAATCATCAATCGGATATTAATTATATTTGTAATGAGGCTGTGGATATTGTTAGCTAGATAATTAAATGTGAGCAGAGTTTAATTTATCCGAGATACATTTCAAAATATACTACATAAAATTGACAAAAATAGAGCTTATATAATTAGAAGAATTCAGACAAATGTCCTTTGTTCTGTGTTGTTATAAATAGGAAACCTTTAGTATAATGTATAGCCTAATTACTTTCACCATGGAGTGTAGTATTGCATAAAGGATAATGAGAATTTCAAGTTTTAAATAGCAACGAACATTCACAAACGTACTGTCCAACTTAAAACATTAAATGTTGCGTCACATGAGATAACCTAAAATCTAGTGTTATACGTTAAACATTTTAACATCCCGTTATGGAGGTAGGAGTAAACTTCCAATCGTGTTATTTTGGTTATATGTCTGTATTTTAACATCCCGTTATGGAGATAGGTCAAACTTCCAATCGTGTTATTTTGGTTATATGTCTGTATTTTAACATCCCGTTATGGAGGTAGGAGTAAACTTCAATCGTGTTATTTGGTTATAT